TACCCCTGTATATCGCCGCATTTGAGTCGACTCAAAGGCGTACCCCTGTATATCGCCGCATTTGAGTCGACTCAAAGGCGTACCCCTGTATATCGCCGCACAGCCTCTCATCACCCTCTCTACCAATCGCCTCCCTGTGCAGTGTGCAGCACTTACTCATGCCTGTGCAGTGTGCAGCACTTACTCATGCCTGTGCAGTGTGCAGCACTTACTCATGCCTGTGCAGTGTGCAGCACTTACTCATGCCTGTGCAGTGTGCAGCACTTACTCATGCCTGTGCAGTGTGCAGCACTTACTCATGCCTGTGCAGAACCCACTCACAGCCGGGGGGGTTGGAGCCGCCAGCAGGCTCACTGTAGAAAGCATACCACTGCATATGGCCAACCCCACATGCTTTTGACAAGCATGTATGTGTGTGGGAGCATGTGTGCCTGGCATGTAGCAAGGGGTGCCTGGTAGCACTCACAGCCGGGGGGGTCAGAGCCGCCAGCAGGCTCGTTGTAGAAAGCATACCACTGCATCTTGCCAAACCCCACGTCGCTGCTCACAAAGTACTGCCGGTGCCCCAGAAACACACGATACCTGGCGGTTGGGGGTGGGATGGTGGGTTGAAGAGGGAAAGAGATGGGGAAGAGGGGGAGTCGGGGCAGGGGTTAATGAGTCGCTGCTCACAAAGTACTGCTGGTGCCCCAGAAACACGCGGTACCTGGCGGTTGGGGGTGGGATGGTGGGTTGAAGAGGGAAAGAGATGGGGAAGAGGGGGAGTCGGGGCAGGGGTTAATGAGTCGCTGCTCACAAAGTACTGCTGGTGCCCCAGAAACACGCAGTACCTGGCGGTTGGGGAAGAGATGGGGGGTAAGAGGGGTTTTGAGACGTCTCAAAACCCTTCTTCAAACACCGGTTGGGGAAGAGATGGGGGGGTAAGAGGGGGGAAAAAAGGGGAAGGGGATGAGTTGGGGAAGGGGTTAGGTTTTGCTGCTCACAAAGTACTGCCCGTGCCTCAGAGAGACGCGGTATGTGGCAGTTGGGCGGTTTGGGAGCCGGTTGGGGAGGGACGGGGGGTGGGTAGAGGGGGGAAAGAGATGGGAGAAGGGGAGGGAGGAAGGGGGAGGGGGGCGGGAGGGGAGGGGTATGGATAATGGATGAGTGGACCATGCGGGTGGCAAGACCCCGCAGTCTCAATGTCGTGCGGCACAAAGTCACAGATGCCGGTGTAGCACGTGTAGTCCGAACAGGTGGGCTTGGTTAGGCAACATGCATGCTCTACCAGCAGCAGACGTGATAAAAGAGGTGTTTTGAGACGTCTCAAAACAACATGCATGCTCTACCAGCAGCAGACGAGGGAATGATTTCAGAATCCACTGCACGGCACTCACCCCACGGTCTCAATGTCATGCGGGACCAAGTCACAGATGCCCGTGTAGCACGTGTAGTCCGAACAGGTGGGCTCAAAAGAAACAGAACGACCTGCCTCTCTCGACAGCAAATCAACAGACTTTTGAGGCGCCTCAAAAATCAACAGGCTCCATCAGCAGTTTATTGAACTCAAGGCAACCTCCCACTCACCCCACGGTCTCAATGTCATGCGGGACAAAGTCACAGATGCCCGTGTAACACGTGTAGTCCGAGTAGGTGGGCTCCGTCACTCCCAGCAGCAAGTCCCGCACCTGCATTCATGCACCCGTGCACCAAAGACAGCAAGACAGGAGAGGGCAGAAGTGAATTATTTGTTGGCTCCAAGTGATCTTGTCAAGTTCCGGTCCTCCCCTCCCCACAGCTCCGGTCCTCCCCACAGCCCCGGTTCACTACAAGAGTCAAATCGGACATATTCTACCCATTATAAGCACAACCCTGTATATCTTAGGCCACTAGCCCTTGACAACTCGTCAGCTCTTCAGCTTGTGAGCCAATTGCCTTCCCCTGCCACACACACCCGACATGCCTCGCGACCTCGAATCAAATCGTGTCAAGGGCTTCAGGGCGGTTTCAGAGCCTGACTTTTGAAGCTCTGACAGCACGCACGCACTCACGCACCTTGGAGCGAATACCGTCCGCGCCCACGAGCATGTCCCCGTACACCGTGCTGCCGTCACTCAGCTTCACCGCCACCTGGTGGTGTGGGGTGGGGTGGAGAGGTTGTGGGGAGGAGAGGTTGTGGGCAGGGGAGGAGAGAGTGCGAACCGGCGTTGTTGTGCGCCGTGCGTTTACAGGAAAACTTGCCACATGGAAAGGGGGAGAGGTGGGGAAAGAAGAACAGGGTGTGACGAGGAGAGGGTGTCGGGGGGAGGGGGGGGTTTCATTGCTAGAGGTAGAAATTCAAATTCATTTGGTGGGACGATTGCGCCCAGCTCCTCATAGTCAACGCACCTGCTTGCCCTGGTCTTCAAAGTCAACGACGGTCAACCCGTTCCTGATAATGCCCTCCCCAACGGCGTCCACGAGGATCTGCTGGAGAGTCATGCGGCTGATCACGCGCGTCACTGGTAACCCGCCCTCCGCCGCTGGCGTGAACGTGTCGAACTTCACGTACCTGGTGGGATAGCGGGATTACAGTGAGACTAGGCAATAGTGAACCTGGTGAGGCTTCTTCAAGGCTCGATAGTAACCCGCCCTCCGCCGCTGGCGTGAACGTGTCGAACTTCACGTACCTGGTGGGATTGCACGGGAATTACAGGGAGACGAGAGGATACCACATAGTGGTGTGGTGATGAAACTTCAAGTTCATCGGTCATCACAGCCCTTTTTTCCGTTTTTGTTTTAGTGTGCGCGGGTGTGTGCTTTTTGTGACCGGGAAAAGAAAGAAAGAAAGAAAGAAAGAAAGAAAGAAAAAAAACTACAAACAAGCGACTGTCGCACGCACCATTCGCCGGTGAGCCCGTCGCAGAGCCCGTTGATGCGGTCGCCCGTGATGCACCCCGCCGCCATCACCTCCTCCGCCACGCGCAGGTCCACCGCCTCCAGCGCCGCCAGCGCGTTGCTCTGAATCTGAATCGGCCCGCGGTACTGCCCCTCGCCGCGAATCGCGGTGAGATCCCGCTCGAAGACCTGATAAGGATGGGGAAGGGGGGGGGAGGAGTTGGGGAGGGGAGAAGGAGGAAGGGGAGGGGGGAGGTGGAGAAGGCAACGTGGAAAGAAACTGTTAGGAGAGAATGTCCTGTTAGAAGAGAAAGTATGAACAAGCACGAGGACAAGGAACAGAACAGGCACGTGGATTTGAAAGGAGCATGAAGATCCCCATGAATGCTATCAGTTACCTCCACGTCAATTCCACGGTTCTTGCACGACAGAGCGAACACCAGACCGCCGATTCCCGCTCCCGCTACAATCACTTTGAACGGCGACTTGGCGAGATCTGGATCCAGCCCGCTCGACCCCGAATCCGCGACCCGGGAAGGCGCATCGCTGACGGCTGTAGCTCGAACGGCTGTAACTCTAGATGAGGGAAGCCGACGGGAGAGCGATCGTTTGCTGTTAGAACCTAGCCGTCTCTGGAGGGTGACGATGCTGTGAGAGGAGCTGAGTGGAACGGCGGCGGCTGTGACGCGCTCGCGCGCGAAAAGACTCCGTTGGAGGGGAGCGACGTGAGAAGCCATGACAGCGTTTTCCTGCTTTCAGTGGACTTGCGCAAGGAGTGAGTTACTGCCTGAGGATGAAAGAGTCGCGAGTCGGGAGAATGAACGTTTCGCAGCGAAACTATTGCTGGAAATGAGGTTTGATACGTAGACTGATCACCGCACAAGCAGACCGGCCTACTCGACACAGGGAAATGCAAGAATGGAGCTTTCTTGAGGACTGTTGTGGTGGTAGTGTGGTGAGTGAGCTGTGGTGGTGTGGTATTCTCGTGGAAATCTGTTGTCGGAGAGGAAAGACAGCCTAGAAAGGATCGCTCACTGGAGGTGGTGTGACTGGTGTTTCTTGCTGTTGAGCTGCTCTAATGTTGCCACCCTGCTGCTACTCAACTCGAGGGGAAATTCCGAAGGGTGCAAGGACAGTGATTTTCGAGTTTCACGAACTACCCTCACCACAGTGAAGAAAACTTGAAACTTGAGAAGACTGTTATTTATTCGCGGTTTACTGTGTGATTGTTTTCAAAACGGGTTTTCAAGGGGCTGAGTGGAGAACCCCCTAAGCAATAGCCAACAAAATCCCGATGGTCTTACACTTACGAAAGGGCAGTTAAGGTAGGAAAATATCATCGAAAGGGTCACAAAAGAAGCCGTGCCATGTCATCCCAGCATCCTCGAAGAATCTATGCTGCAGCCACGTGGATGAATAGCATACTCTAAGAAGCCCAAATCAGTGGAAGAGAATACGTCGGCCAATACAAGGCGAATACGACTCAGGCCTGGGATGTGCTCGTATCAGCGCTGTCAATTGCGTCAGCGCTCCGATTCGTCAACTGCGACACACGAAATGATTGCAAACGAGGGTGTGGATTGGACCTTCTAACCAAGGACAGGGGCTTTGTACTCGCTAGGAGAATCTACACGGTCCGGCCTGTCGCTGATAATATCCAACATGATATCCTCCATTCATTCTTGTGTTTACCCTAAACAGGGAACACCTAAACAGCTAAATCTTTACAGCACCATAGAACAGCTACTAAACACCACCATCAGCAGCACACGGCCTCATATTCAGGATATTTGTTGGTGGAAACAGAAGATGCATGGAATCATGCCAAGATGATGTGAAAACGACCACACTCCTTGAAAAAGCGCATTTTGTTCCCAAACACCCTTCCAATCACTTGTTTGGTCCTGAGAACCCTGATCGGCCTGCGTGACAAGCCTTGCAGGCCCCCAATATACAGAAGGGCGAGAGTCAAGATGGTGACAAACGAATTTGGAAGGAGTGTAGTCACCCCCACTTTTTAGGCGCCTCAAACAAAATACTAAGATTGTTTCAAGAGCCTCAGGAGTGTTGAGACGTCCACCCATTGCCCAGGAGACGGGGGGGCTTGGATGAAGGAGTGTTGAAACGATCAACTAAGCTACCACCTACACCACTCCATTTACCACCCCATCTTCCTCCGCGTTGGACGACGGGACAGCCGCGTAACCGTGTAACGAGGTGTTTGTCACACACAGAGGTCCGAACTTCCACTGTGTGAGGAAGACAGCTAGGTGCCACGTCATGATGATGAAGAAGGGCCAGAAGTAGGCGTGGGGGAAGGGGAAGAGTGCGTCGTATCCGAGGAGGCGGGGCCGCCAGCAGTCAAAGACAAGCCAGATGGACTGTGGGCATAAGAAGGGAGGGTGAGGTGCGCGGGAGAGGAGAGCAAAGCGGAAGGTAAAACCAGAGTTGATAGGTGTGGGGCGAGGGGAAGAGAGCGTCGTAGCCCAGCATCAGGTGCCAGCAGTCAAGGTCAGATGGACCGGGGGAATGAGAAATAGGGGGTGGTGGCGTAGGGGGTGCTAAAAGGGAAAAGAATCACATGGGGAAGGGGGAAGGGGGAAGGGGGATAGGGGAAGGGTAGAAGCTGGATTTGGGGAGGGGCGAAAAAATGGGGGCACCATGGAGGGGGGAGGGGGGGGAGGAGGGGACAAGGTGAAACAGAGAAGTTAGGGCCCGAGCAGGGAGCAGTGTGGGGGAGGGGGAAGACGATACAGCACGGATGGAGTGCCGTCCTAGAGCAACACACCTGAGCTGCCCAGTTGCCAATGGCAAATTTTGAGGGTCACAGCACGGCAGGGTGGGGGTTGCCAGATGGTAAAGGCGATGCACTGGGGAAGCAGGAAGTGTGCGGGCTGCTGGATCCACCCACACAAGGTGTGTTTTTTGAGAACTCTCAAAAACACCCTGCTGGGTCCACCCACACAAGCTCACCTGAAGAGCAACAACCTCTGCTCACCTGAGCGGCTGCAAACTTGAGGTAGACACCGTGGCAGGCGGCGAGGAGTGGTTGCCAGATGGCGCATGGCGTATAGAGAATGACAGAGGAAGAGGACAGCTGCAGTCCCACATAAATGCTCAAAGCTCACCTGTGCAGTTTACGCCAAACGCACCACCTTTGTAGCACCTAGCTCAGCTCACCTGAGCGGCCCAGTTGCCGACAGCAAACTTGAGGGAGACTCCGCGGCAGGCAGCGAGTGGGGGTTGCCAGATGGCGAATGCGATGGATTGCGGCAGCAGGAAGAGGAAGTGGGCGAGCTGTAGCAGCACGTCTGTAGCGTCCCACACGTAGAGAATACCGCCGCCCACCCCCACCATGCCCATGATCGTCAGCGCCACGTAGGCGTCACTCGGGGGAGGTAGCAACTGCATCGGCTGCTGCTGGTGGGGTTGTGCGTGGTGCTGGGTGGTGGTGTGGGTTCCGAAGGTTTCTCCCGGAGGAGCGGTGATTCTGGGTGGAGTGCTTTTAGCAGCGTTTCTTCCGGGATGAGACGAAGCGGAGGAGATGGAAAAGGAGGAGGCGGAGGAGGAGGAGGAAGGGGAGCGGGAGGAGACAGAGGAGGGGGAGGAGGGCGAGAAGGCGGGCCGGGAGGCGCAAATAGCAGCGGAGGAGGAGGGACTGACAGGGAGGCCGCTGGCTGCTGCTGCGTACGCTGCTGCAGCCCGTTTCCGCTTCCTTTCGACAGAGACAAAGAGGAGGACGTATAGGAGGAGGGTGAGGAACTCGATGGCGTGGGGGAGGGTGGCGAGCTGCGTGAGGAGGTAGGAGAGGACGTCTGAGGAGAGGAAAGAGAGCGGGTAGTAGAGGTCTCGCAGCCAGAAGGAGGCGAAGACGATAATCTGAGTGGCAATCATGGTGAGGGAGGTGAAGTGCGCGTGGGGGTGTGAACGGACATGTAAGACCTGGGGTGGGGGGAGTAACAGCAGAAGAAGGTGGGAGGAGAACAGGAGGAGTGAGTAAGTGGAGGGGTAAACGAGAGCACGCGCTAGAGAAGGTGTGGGAGGAAGGTGGGGAGGTAGGAGAGGATGTCTGAGGAGAGGAAGGAGAGCGGTCCCGCAGCCAGAAGGAGGCGAATATGATGATCTGGGAGGCAACCATTGTGAGAGGGGGAAGGTGGCCATATAGCCGGAATGGCTTCTGAACTTGCCCATGTCATCCTAAGACGACGCCTCCTGTACGAGCATGTCTTTATCACACGGGCTCAGTTTGATAACCACCTCCGTCCAAATTAGCTGCTAGTGCAAACTGGACCAGTGTGATAAAGACGTGCTCGTATGGGAGGCGTAATCTTAAGAGGGCATGGGCCAGTTCAGAAGCCATTCCGCCCATGTGGCGACCTTTGAGGGAGACGGGACAGCAGGGGTAGGAGAGGAAAGAGAGGGGTTATTAAAGGAAGGCGACTGAGAGAGCTTGAAAACCAGAGAGCATGGCAGAGACCACCATGTCCCAATCGAGCGGCTCCGCCTGCTGAGACAGTAACTCCGTCTCCCCCGTTGATTGGTACTACTGCCCCATTGACTGCCTTCTGTCGCACCTGAGAAACCACTGCGAGCGCTTGGAAGGCAGAGAGCATGGCAGAGACCACCATGTCCCAATCGAGCGGCTCCGCCTGCTGAGACAGTAACTCCGTCTCCCCCGTTAACTGGTACTGCCCCCCCATTGACTGCCTTCTGACGCACCTGAGAAAACACTGCGAGCGCTTGGACGGAGGAGAGAACAGCCGAGAGCACCATGTCCCAATCAAGCAGCTCCGCCTGCTGCCGCCTGCCTGTCTATATTACTGCCCCATTCACTGCTGACCCACCTGAGAAAACACTGCCAGCGCTTGGAAGGCAGAGAGCACGGCCGAGACCACCATGTCCCAATCGAAGAGCTCCGCTTGCTGTGTGAGTGATTCCGTCTCCCCCGCCACTGCGAGCGGCCCAAAGAACTCGCTCCCCTCCCCTGCCTGCTCCACCGGGATTGTACTCGTTACAGTGCCCTCCATTACAAGCACGTCGGCGACAATGGAAGTATCATCCACCTCGGATCCCAACTCGTCCAGCAGGTCTGCCTTCGTGATATCCGTGCGTTCCTTCAGAGTGTGCGGGTCGATCACCCCTACTCCTGCCGCCGCTGCTGCCGCTGCTCCTGCTTCTCCCTGCCCTTCTTCCCCCACACTGCTGCCACTAGCACCAGCACCAGCAGCAGCAGCAGCAGCAGCGGCAGCAGCAGCGGCGTTGCTCTTGCCCTCCCCGTTGACCCCGAACTTGGCCACGGCTATTCGCTCCAGGCGCTCCACTGCCTGCTCCTGGGCGTTCTTCCTCCACTCCGCCTGGCGGTGTGGGGCGGGGAGTGGGCGGAAAGGAGAGAGACATAGAGGGATGGAGGGGCAAGGAGGAGGGAGAGGACCAGGTGAAGCCCCCAGGAAGCCACACTGCAATCCGCTCCAGGCGCTCCTCCGCCTGCTCTTGGGCGTTCTTCCGCCACTCCGCCTGGTGGGGTGATGAGAGGGGGAAGAGAGGGTGGTAGGAGGCATAGAGCGATAGGTAGGGCAAAGGTGAAGTTTCCAGGCAGCCACACCACACTGCAATGCGCTCCCCTGCTCCTGGGCGTTCTTCTGAAACTCATCCTCGGCTCCTCTAAGCTGCCTGGGAAAACCTCCAATCCCTCTTTAGAGTACTCCTTTACATTGCTGGAGGTTTTTTTTTTTTTTTTTTTTTGGTTGCTTTCTGGGAAGTTTCGTGTTTTAGAAATCTCAGAAGTGATTCGTTTCGTCGTTAGATTCAGCCATAGTGTTACACCCACCCACCACGCGCCAGCCCACCATGGTGCTCCTGGAGCTGCTGGTGCTGGTGGTGCTGCTGGTGCTGCTGGTGCTGCTGGTGCTCCTGGTGCTCCTGGTGCTCCTGGTGCTACTGATGCTCCTGATGCTCCTGGTGCTGCTGGTTCTTCGCCTTAAACCGCAGCACTAGCAGCATACTACAACTCCTTGGCCCTTCAAGGCGCATGCCCCACTCTGCCTGCCTGATGGGCGCTATACGCATCCCACACCACCCTACCACCTAGCACCACATCCCACCACCAGGCACCGCGACCCACCACGCACATCACATACCTCGTTCTTCGCCTTGAACCGCAGCACCAGCAGCATGCTGCACCTCACCTCCTAGGCACCCCACACCATTCCACCACCAGGCACCACTCCCCACCCCACCGTCTCACCTCGTTCTTCGCCTTGAATTTCAGCACAAGCAGCATGTTGCACCTCCGCGGATCCACGTACGGATCTTCCGCCTCCGCGGACTCCTCCCCTTCCCCTCCCCCCGCGCCTCCCCCCAACCGGCTCTGGCACCCCACCATGCACAGCACCCCCGCGCGCATCGAAAAATACCCCTCCGCGCGCACCACCACCGTCCCCATGTAGCTCTCCGCCCATTCCGTCTGCGACGTGACATAAACGAGCGCGCCCACGTCCAACGTGCCGTTTTCCGTCGGCACGACGTGCTCCGTCCAGAAATCGAACGCGCCCGAGTCCGTCGTCAGGACCTTGTGCCGGACTGCCGGCTGGCCGGCTGATCCTGCCGCCGAGCCGTCTGCTCCAGCCGGCGACGATGAAGTGTCGTTTCCGTCAGCTGCTGCTGCTGCTGCTGCTGCTGCTGCTGCTGCTGCTGCGGCGGCGGCGGCGGCGGGAGGGTCTTGGTAGCGCCATTTGCCGCGAATGACGGAGTTGGAGGAGAGGAGAAAAGGGACGGCCGGGAGCGGGGCGGCAGCGCCATCAGAAGACGACAATTCCGGCACGTGCGGCTGGCAGTGCGAGAGAACGGCTTCGCGGGTAAAGCCGCCCGACATTAGCCGCGTCTCGGCGACACCGGGTTTGGCGGAGAAGAGGAGCAGAAGGAGGGAGAGAAGGGGGAGCCAGCTGGAAAACTGCGAGAAGCGATTTACGAGAAAGCGAGGATGGAGATGAGGAAGGTTCTCGGAAACGGGAGCTGATAAGGCTCTCCTAGAATTGCGTGCGAAGATAGGGTTCTCAGGCGCCGCAAGAAGCGGGCGCCGGCGCTGGTATCGACATTGGTTACTGCCCGTACGGGAAAGCAACGTGTTTGCGGCTCGGTTGTTTTGGAATCCCATTCCACGTGGAGCACTAGTCGTTTTCATCGTAAGCAGGATTCTCGTGGCACATGGAGTGCCCACGGCAGAAGCAGGAAATCTGGAATCGAACGCACGGCGACAATGTCTCTTTCCGTCGCTGGTGAATGCTGGGTGAAAACGAAAGGAACGAGCTCCGAAAGAAATTCGATCTCAAGATGTCAAAGATCAAGATGCGAGAGTTCTGCTGTGTTGTATTGGAGCACATGGGGAGGGTGTGTCGTGGAATAAAGCGCAATGGATCTGGGGACGGGTTCTGTGAAGGCCGTAGGAGATTCTACATTCGATTGGCGGTTTTGCGAAACGACTCGAAATGCGGGTCGAAACATAACCTTACAATCAGCGAAGTCTGGTGTCCCAAGTTTGAAAATCCCGGCGATGAACCACAATAAAAACCTAGGCACGAAAATTCACTTGAGCATACGCCCCTGAAAGAACTCGGGTTCACGCTGACCTGGATGGATTCTGTGACCTGTCGCCAAGTGAGGGAGGGGAAACGAAATGAGAGGGAGTTGTCCAAGGTGAGGGACACGAGGACGGGGATGGGTTTGTAACGAGTCGCGTCGGTTAAACATTGTAGATAATATAAGTTTTCTGTATAGTTGGTACCTGGACGCATTGGAAGAGAGATAGTATCATAGTATTATGGTTGTATGTTAGGTGTGGTGATAAGGTTTTCACAGGAACTGGTGATGTCAGTTCCAGTATAGTTTATGTGACCAACTTGTTATTCTGAATGAAACATACCCTTTTACGTACATAGAAGTTAGATGGGAAAATATGTCAATGGTAACCTACATGGTGCACTATAACGCGTAAACAAGTACTAGTCCCTGGAAAGCACGTAAATGCAAATTTTCCATCTAGGCATCCTGCCTGTAACGGATCTGACTATGTTGCCTCCTACTTTCCCAGAGACTTGAATTTAAATTCAGCAGGAAATCTAATCGGGGCAGTTCATCAACTCCCTCGAGGCTCGGTCTGAGGCTAGCCTAGGAATAGGCATTCTTGTGGTATGGTTTATGGCTTGAGGCGACCCACGCACCGCTGATTAAAAGCTAGCCACGCCTTCGAGGACTCCCCTGCTGTCAAGTCTCCGTATCATTCGAAACTGATCGGAATTAGAATTCCGTTCTTAGACGCCTCAAAACTCCACGCTCCGACCTTTAAGATGTCAGAATATCGCGGTCGCCACCACGAGCATCCGCCGTTGCCATGCTACCCGATATCATAAAAGCTTTTCATTCCCTCATTCGTCAAATGATCACCATCCATGCATCAGTCCGTCCATCCATCCACTAGTTCTCCAATCGTCCGGCTGTAGCCCGTCGCTTCAATCCCGTCCGTAAATCCGTCCGTCCGTTGAATCTCGTCCGTCCGAACAGCGACCCATCATGGCGGCGGCGGCGATGGCGGCGATGGCAGCGGCGGCGTCGCGGTTCGGCGGAAAGGGCGGCATGCAGTGGCACGACTGGCAGACGCTCATGTCGGAGTTCAACGAATCGCACGAGATGCAGAACCAGTGGGTGCAGCTGTACCCGCCGCCCGTTCTGTTCGACCTTGGGATTACCGTCATTCTCAAAGACAGGGAGCCGGCCGCTAGCAAGGTGAGGGGAGGGGTGAAAGGGGGGAGGGGAGGGGAGAGGGGAGGGGAGGGGAGGGGAGGGGAGGGGAGGGGAGGGGAGGGGAGGGGAGGGGAGGGGAGGGGAGGGGAGGGGAGGGGAGAGGGGAGGGGAGGGGGGGAGGGGAGGGGAGGGGAGGTGACGCGAGAGAGGTAAGATCGACTTGTTGTTAAGGAGAGAGTAGCAAGGAGAGGGGTAAGATCTCCAATAACCGAAGCAGTGGGTGCAGCTGTACCCTCCGCCCGTGCTGTTCTACCTTGGGATTACCGTCAACGTTAGAGTCAGGTTTGAGAGTTCTCAAAAGCTCTCTATGCTAGGGAGTTAGTGAGTTCCGGTCAGACAGTTCCCACTCATTAGCGTGTCCACACGCTGTGGATGATCTCCGCCTCCCCCTTTCCCACCCCACCCCACCGGACCGCATCCCACCGGACCGCATCCCACCTCACTCCACCTTACCCCACCATACCGCTCCACACCACAGGCACAGCTACTGTCGTTCCTGGAGGAGCACGCGCTGCTGGTGGTGGTGGTGGGGGAGAGGGAGTGCCGAGCCGTCGGACAATCGCCCTGTTCTGTAGAGTCGTGATTTGAGTCGCCTCAGGTTTCTTTTTCCTTCCTCAAGCTACACCTCCCACCACACCCCACCACACTCCACCCCCTCCACCACAGGCGCAGCTGTTGTCATTTCTGGAGGAGCACGCGCTGCTGCTGGTGCTGGGAGAAAGGGAGCTCTCCCTACCCCTGCCCACCCTGCTGCCCTCCCCCTCCGGCATCACCGCCTTCAATACAAGCACATCCGCTGCAAGCACATTCGCTGCCAGTGGCGGTAGTGCTGCTGGTGCTGCTGGTGCCAATACTGGATCTTTCAGTGCAACTCTCTCGACTCTCGCCTTCCCCGCCGCTCATCTCCTTGAAGCAGCCATGACTGCCCGTCCCACATTCCAACGCCTCCTCTCCCTCCTCGTCTCCCTCACTCACTACCACCCTCCTCCCTCCTCCTCCTCTACCTCCGCCGCAGCCTCGCCTGCCTTCCCCGCCTCCGCATCCCTATCCACCCATCCCAACCACCCCTCTTCCTCTCCGTACACATCAGGCACTGCCGCTGCATCACAGTCAGCAGCAGCAGGCAAGCTAGCATCGGTACAGTCAGCGTCAGCGGCACAGCTGGCAGCGGTGGCAGGGGGTGGGAGGGGAGGGGGTGTAAGCGGTGTGGGTGGAGGAGGGGAGGCGGTGTCGGCAGCTGCAATGGCAGCGGTGCCTGGTGGGCTGCGGGCGCAGCTAGTGTCTGCTATCACATCCGTCTTCATACAGGTATGTTACGTGCTGTGAGGCACCAAAAACATCAGCAGCGGCAGCAGCAGCGCTGCCTGCTGGGCTGCGGGCACACACAGCTAGTATCTGCAGTTGCAGCCGACTTCCTACAGGTGCGTGCCGTGCTGCTGCAGTGTGTAAAATAATCAATATGGGCATCAGCAGCAGCAGCAGCAGCAGCAGCAGCAGCAGCAGCAGCAGCAGAAGCAGCAGCAGCAGCAGCAGCAGCAGCAGCAGCAGCAGCAGCAGCAGCAGCAGCAGCAGCAGCAGCAGCAGCAGCAGCAGCAGCAGCAGCAGCAGCAGCAGCAGCAGCAGCAGCAGCAGCAGCAGCAGCAGCAGCAGCAGCAGCAGCAGCAGAAGCAGCAGCAGCAGCAGCAGCAGCAGCAGCAGCAGCAGCAGCAGCAGCAGCAGCAGCAGCAGCAGCAGCAGCAGCAGCAGCAGCAGCAGCAGCAGCAGCAGCAGCAGCAGCAGCAGCAGCAGCAGCAGCAGCAGCAGCAGCAGCAGCATCAGCAGCAGCAACAGCAGCAGCAAAAGCAGCAGCAGCAGCAGCAGCGCTGCCTGCTGGGCTGTGGGCGCAGGTCGTGTCTGCAATCCCATCCGTCTTTATCCAGGTGCGTACCATGCTGCTGCTGCTGCTGCTGCTGCGGTGTCTAAAACAGTGGAGATGTGAGGCGATGTTAACTCAGAGACAGCAGCCACTGCCTGCCTGCACTCACCCCACCTCCATCTGCTCTGCACCCATACATGTGTGTCCCTCCCTCCCTCCCTCCCTCCCTCCCTCCCTCCCTCCCTTTCCCCTTCTTCTCCCCCTCGACCCCCTCAGCTCGAGGCAATGGATCTCTTTCCTGATCTCCTCGCCTCCCTTGTCGACCTGCTCCTCTTCGCCGCAAAAAGGACAAACCACGCCGACCGCTTCATCCGCCAGGCGGCGTGTCTCGGCCTACGTGAGCTGGAGGGCGCTTACCCGTGCGTGTTGCAGCAGTATGGCGGGCACGTGCTGGCATATCTGGCTCTAGAAAGGTCATTTGTGTGGCAAGGATACGTGCTGCTGCTGTCAGCCATCGTCAAGGTATGATGTGGGGGTGGTTCTGTGTGTGAGTATGCGTGAGCTGGAGGGCGCGTACCCGTGCATGCTGCAGCAGTACGGCGGCCACGTGCTGGCGTATTTGGCTTGGGAACGATCGTTTGTGTGGCAGGGCAGGGATACGTGGTGCTGCTGTCAGCGATTGTCAAGGTATGATTTCCGAGGCGCCTCAAAATCTGCTGCGCTGCTACTGTCAGCAGCAATCGTCAAGGTATGCCCTGGTGATCTCACTGTGTGAGCTGGAGGACGCCTATCCGTGTGTGCTGCTGCAGTATGGCCGGCACTGTTGGCGCATCTAGCTTCGGAAAGCTCGTTCGTATAACAAGGATACATGCTGTTGCTATCAGCCATCAGCAAGGTCTGCCCTGGCCTCTTGGAATGCCCCTGTGTGCGCATGCCCCTGTGTGCGCATGCCCCTGTGTGCGCATGCCCCTGTGTGCATGATACAATTGCATGTACATGCATGCGAGCTTGAGGGCTCCTCTCTCTATTCTTTTTTGAGTCGACTTTATTTTCTTTTCTTTTCTTTTAGTCGACTAAAAAATCGTCTTTTTGTCAGTGTGACCTCTCCTCCCTCTCGTCCATCTCTTACCAATCCTATTCAATTTCCCCTCCCTCCGTTCAGAACCTATGTACGACCTTCTTTGCCGGGTCAGCCCAGTCACTCACCAAAACATGTTCAGGCGGTTCTCCCTTCTCCTTCCTCTCCTCCATCTCTTACCAATGAAGCACCCCCCCTCCCCGCTCCCCACCCCGCCATTCAGAATCTCTGTACAACATTCTTTGCCGGGTCATCACAGTCTCTCACCAAAACGTCTTCAGGCGGTTCCCCCTTCTCCTCCGTTTCCTCCATCTCCTCCCTCTCCTCTCTCGCCTCCGCCTCTGCCCACGCCCCCCAGCCCTCCCCGTCCCCCTCGCCTTCCCGCCTGCATCCCTCCGCGTCTACCTCCTCCTTCTCCTCCCTTCACCACCAGTCAAGCCACCATAACACCCAGAATCCCCACCACCACCAACACTACCAGCACCAGTACCAGCAGCATCATCAGCATCACCAGCAGCACCAGCACCACCACCAGCGACAGCATCAGCATCAGGCACACGCCTCTCATCTCGCCTCAGCCTCCTCCCTCCCTGCCTCTGCTGCCTCTTTCAAAATCCGCCCTCTCACCATCGGCCCTCCTCAAGCTGACTCACTCTTAGCTCTCCCCTTTGACCCCAGTGCCCCTCCTCCCTTCTCGCTTCCTCTCCCCTGGGGGCTTTTGCTGACAAGGCAGCAGGGGGAGGAGATTGAGGGATGGGGAGGGGATGCGGAGGTGGGGGGTGTTGAAATTGTGCCGTCCCAACTGCCAATTGCTGGTGAGAATAGGCAGGATTCGACTTTGTGAATTTGAGTCGTCTCAAAAAGGGAGTGGGGAGGTGGGGGGTGTTGAGATTGTGCCATTCCAACTACCTATTGTTGGTGAGAAAAATGCGGGTTCTTTGTGTGTGCAAACAGGATTCGATTTGCTGCTGCGGACAGGATTAGCTTTGCTGGTGCAGAATTTGCGATGCAATCTCCTTTTTGCCCTGCCTTAGTACAAAGTGTTTTCTCTGCTTGCCCTTTAGAGCACTTGTCAATCCACGATGAGTCTCCTCCGTGGTCTCCCCTCCTTCCACTGCCACATTCTTACAAGCACTCTCCAGCACCTACTGTGTGGCTCTCATTACAATCACATGCTTCATCCCATCCCTTCTCATTACAATTACATCTTTCCTCCCCCTTTCTTATTACAATCACATCAGGCCAGCGTGCCATCCGCAAGGCCATCTCAGCGCTTCTAGATGCGTGCCAGCTGGCGTCTCCACCCGTCCTCGCGTGCGTGCTCGCTGACGTGGCGGCGGTTGCAGCTTCTCTGAACCTTCCTTTTCTCAAGTCTCAGGCCCTTCAAGACATGGGATATTTGGAGAGTGCTTCGTCCTCTCTGCAGACACACACAGGTAGGTATTCCCATGAGTGCAAGCCCTCATGTACTTGCTTGCTCATTCCATGTGATTTCTTTCTTTCTTTCTTTCTTTCTTTCTTTCTTTCTTTCTTTCTTTCTTTCTTTCTTTCTTTCTTTCTTTCTTTCTTTCTTTCTTTCTTTCTTTCTTTCTTTCTTTTCTTTTCCTTTTCTTCTTCTTTTCCTTTTCTTTTCTTTCCGGATGAGCTGATAATTTTTTTACCCCCCGAAGAAAAGAAATCCTTCCACCTTTTTTTTGTTTCCCAACCCCTTTTCTGCAGCACTCTACATGCTCCAGCGCATCCTCTCGCCGCCCTCCCCTCCACCCCTCCCGGCCCCCGCACCATCACCCCTATCCCGCCCCTCCTCCCCCTCTCCGTCCTCCTCCTGTCGCTCCTCCCCCGCTTCCACCCCCACGCACAGCCGCACGCACAGCTTCACCCATTCCCACAGCTTCAATCAACCCCACAGCTTCAAGCAGGCTCATGGGTTTGAGGCGACTCAGAGACAAGTGCCAGGCACCATCACACGCTCCTCCTCCCTCTCCTCCTCCTCCTCCTCCGGTGCTTCAGTTGCCACCATCCCTTCATATGCTCTCACCATTCCTTCCTCTGCCCGTCCCGCCACTCCACCTGCTCCGTTTGTCTCATCTGCCATCCCACCACTATCACCAGCACAGCCACCGCAACCACCACCGCCAGACCTCCTGCCAGCGCACACCAAGCGAGCTGTCGTGCTGCGAGTGGCCCGATTGGCCCACGAACCCTGGCAGCCAATCGCTGTGCGCCAGCTGGCGCTGAGGTGGCTGCTGGCACTGGAAATCGACGGGGTGGCAGCGGGAGGAGCTGATGGTGGTCTTGCTGGAAGTCAGCCGCAGCTTCACATGCAGCAGCAGCAGCAGCAGCAGCAGCAGCAGCAGCAGCACGCACTCTCACAGCAGCACTCACATCCCCACACACAGCAGCACAGGAGAAAGCTCATCCTGCCAGCACCCCAGCTAGCATCAGCTCTCTCCATCCGTCTCTTTGATCCGCTCGCCCTCAAGGCTGCCAAGACCCTCGCCTTCGCCCGCATCGCCGCCGCCGCGCTCTGCTCCTCCGCGCTCCCCGAATCCGCACGCGCCGCCATGTCAGCATCTGCCATGTCAGCATCCGCCACGTCAGCGTTTTCCACGTCAGACGCGGCTGCGGCGAGCCAATCAGGGGATTCCGCTGCTGCTGACGCGTTCCTGTCCGCCAGCCGCCTGCAGCAGCAGCTGCTGCACGAGTCCATGGCGGCTCTCTCTCTCTTCTACTATCTCCCACCTTCCTCCCTAGACGCACTCCTTGCCCTCCGCACTCTCCGCTGCTTCCTCACTGCCACGCCCCTTCCCCTCCTCTCCTCCCCCCTCCTTTCCTCCCCCCTCCTTTCCTCCCCCCACCTCCCTTCCTCTCCCCTCCTCTCCCTCCCTTCCTCCATACCTCTCTCCCACTCCCACTCCGACGCCTCCCAATCTCTTTCCTCCCTCCCACTACACACCCACCACCCCTTGACCATCAACATAGCATCACCAGAGCACGAGACCAACAGACCAGGCCTTCCAGGCCTTTCCAGGCAGCACTCCCTTCTAGCACCTGGACTCTCCTCTCCCGCACTTCCCCCATCTATCCTCTCATCCGTGCAAGCCTATCTGCTTAGCACGCTAACAGCCATGCCTGACCACATCCCCAACCTCCTCTTCTTCCTCTCCTGCCTCTCTCAGTGCCCCCACCACCACCCCCTTTCGTGTGCCCTCCATCGCACCCTTTTCTCCCAGCTCATCCCCCTCCTCAGCCAACTCTCTCCCACCCTCCCTCCTGATTCATCTGCAGACACAGGCATTCAACATCCTTCTCTTTCTGCCACTGCTGACGCTGCTTGCACTGCTGACCGCGATCCGTATAGCCTTTCCCCTCTTTCATCTTCTCTTTCTCTCCCTCCTTCTCCTCTTCTTCCTCCTCCTCCGCCTCCGATTCCTCCCCTCCCTGCTCCGTTCACCTCCACCGCACGATCTGCCAGGTCAGCGGGATATCTGACGGCCCAGCCGCTCCTGGTGCCTCTCTCCCTCTGCTCCGTGCCGCGCTACCTCCCCCTCCTCCACTCGCTCTCAGCCAATCCCGATGTGCCACCTGGCCCCATCGTAGATCTCCTGCTCGCGTTTCTGAAAAATGAAAGGGAGAGGCGGAACAGAGGGACAGGGGGAGGAGGGAAGGGGGGAGGGAGGAGGGGAGGGAAAGGGGGAAGAGGAGAGGCAGGAGAGAGGGAGGAGGAAAGGAGGAGGGAGGGTGGTGGGATGGCAAGATGGCCTGGTGTGGGTATGAGTGGCGGTGCTGCTGCTGCAGCAGATGGGGAGGAAGCATCATGGGAGGACACAGCGCAAGTGCTCTCCATATGCCGGTGAGCAAAGCATTCAATGGAGCAACACTAACGTACGTGTTGCTTCAAGGTCTGGTGTGAGTGGTGGTGCTGATGCTGCTGCAGCAGCGGGGGAGGTGGCATCATGGGAGGACACAGCGCAAGTGCTCTCCATGTGCCGGTGAGCTGAACCGTTCAATGGAGCAACCGCATTGATTCTTGGGGCGGTCGTTTTGTTAAACGGGAATTAAAAAGAAAAACAAACAAACAAACAAAAAAACAAAACAAGCATGTGCACCGGTTTGTTGAGGCGCCTCAATATGTATTCAAATCATTCATGGTTCAAATCCCAAGTGTGTGCTCTTTACTTCTTCTTCTTCTTTGTGTCAATCCCTAAGAGTTGCTGCCACGTATTGAAACCATGGCACCTACATGGTGCTCTATTGGACTCCAATAGTTCATGGTTCAAATCCCAAGTGTGTGCTCTTTACTTTTTCTTCTTCTTTGTGGCACCATTCATTTCCCCTATTCCTTGTCTCCCCTCTCCTCCGCAGCACCATTCTCACAAGCCACGCCCTATCAGTGGCATTTGACCCGTTGACGCACCTCTTCTCGTTTGTCACTCTCCATCATCCGGATATCACCCTCAGGGACAGAGCCAGGTGCGTGCATAATCTGCAATGTGATGGGTGCATAATCTGCAATGTGATGGGTGCATAATCTGCAATGTGATGGGTGCATAATCTGCAATGTGATGGGTGCACTGCAGTGTTCATGTTTAAAACAGCATTCGCCTCTTCTTGTTTGTCACTCTCCACCACCACCCGGATATCACCTTGAGGGACAGAGCCAGGTGCGTGCAGTGAAGAACCTGGTCTATGGTTGCAATGGGTGCACTAGACATCAAGCTGACTTTTGAGTCGACTCAATAGTCAGCCTGGTCATGGGTGCACTCATCACATCACATCACATCACATCATAGATTCTGCTACATCCATTCCCTTCATTCCCTTCCCCTCCCCCTTCACTTTGCCCCTCTCCATCCCTGCTCCCCTGCCACCTCCCCTTTCCGCCTTCCCTTCCCTTCCCCTTCCCCTTCCCCTTCCCCTTCCCCTTTCCCTTTCCGTTCCCCTCTTCCTCTCCCCTTTCCCCTGCCCCTACGCTCAAAGGATCTTCCTGCGCCTCATCGCATCAGCATCTGGTCACATCATCCGTCATCTCCCCATCACAGTTTTTGTTTTGAGGCGCCTCAAAACTAGACTACCTGCGCCTCATCGCATCAGCACCAGGTTACATCATCCGTCATCTCCCCATCACAGGTTCTGCCACAACAAGAAACATTATCTCCTTCCCCTTCCTCTTGAAAGATGAGTGTTTTTGAGACGTCTCAAAGACACAATTCTTTCACGTGGCTGTTATGCCACAACCAGAAACATTGTCTCCTTCCCCTTCCTCCCCCCATTCCTCTGCCGCATCCTCTGTCCCCATGCCCACAGGTTTTTCCTCCGCCTCATCACATCAGCGCCAGGTCACATCATCCGTCATCTCCTCCTCTCCTCCTCCTCCTCGTCATCCCTCCCCCCTGCCCCTGGCCGTACCCCCATCACGGCACCTGCTCCTGCTGCTGCTGCACCGTTTCCACCTCCCCTCTTTTACACTCCCGCAGGGGATTTCTCTGCTGCTTCGGGTGGTGCTCTCTTTGCTCTCGCCTCTTCCGCTGCTGCGGCTACCACCAGAACTGATGTCACTGCGTCGGAAGCAGTAGCAGCAGGAGCAGGAGTGGGGGGAGGAGGAGCAGCAACGGGAGCAGGAGCAGCAGCTGCAGCAACGGCAGCAGCGGCGGCGGCGGCGAGAGCAGCAGCAAATCGACTTTTAGCGGACACAGCAGAAGGACCCCCCTCCCAGCCCCAGTCCGTCAACATGGCAGATGCAGCAGCGTTTGCTGAGATCGCTGCAGTCATCAGTTCACCCTCCTCCTCCCTCTCCTCCTCGGCTCTTAAAGCCGTTGTTGCTGCTGCCGCCGCTGCTGCTCGCGCTGCTGCTGCGTCCGATGCCGCTGCTGCCGCTGCTGCAGCCGCAAGTGCCAGGGGAGTGGATGGTAGTGCTGCTGGCAAGGGGGGGCAGGGGCCGATGGGTATTTTCTCAGCGATTGGGGATTTGTTTGTGTCAACTGCTGCTGCTGCAGATGCTGCTGCTTCTCCTACCGTTGCTGCTTCGGCTCCTGCTGTTACGTCTGCTTCTGTTGCTGCTTCTGCCCTGGCTGCTGCTGCAGCTAACTCTTCAGCTTCATTGCTGTCCTCATCACCAGCTTCAGCGATCTCATCTGTCGTCCCCACTTCTTCTTCCTCCTCCTCCTCCTCTTCCCTCTCCTCCTCTGTCTCTGCTTCTGCATCCACATCCCTCCCTTCTTCCCATCTTGCTCCAATCACCACCGCCGCTCCACTTAAGTCGACACCAAAAACCAACCCCAACACCACCAACACCACCACCGCCAGCAGCAGCAGCACCACTGCCAACACTTCTACCTCCTCCTCCTCTCTTGCCACCATTCCCTTGGATCCCATTCACCCCCGTCCGCCGCCCAAAGGCCCCGTGCAGCTGTCACGTGTGCTACAGGCCAAACGGCGCCGGCCGCCGGCCGTTCCAGACTCCTGGGAGCTTGTCCTGTTCCCCTCAGATGCGGACAAGAAGGGGGCTGGGGGGGAGTGGGCGAAGGGAAGGGAGGCGGAAAAGGGTGAGGCTGCCGCTGCTGCTGCTGCTTGTGCTGTCAAGGAGGTCAGCCATGCTTCAACTTCTGTTGCTGTTGTTGCTGCTGGTTCAAGCAGTAATGAGTTCAAGTCTCTCACTTTGTCAACTAAGCACCACTCATTCGCACCACAGCACCTGCAGCAGCAGCAGCAGCAGCAGCAGCAGGAGGCTGAGTGGTATCGGTCGCAGAGTCAGCAGACTCTTGCCTTGCTGGACACACACACTGCTGAGCTGGCAGCCATTCTGGACGAGTATTTTGCCACTCTGGCACGACGACAGCCTGGCGACACGGGGTCAGCGACCATCATTCGTGCGGTTACCAGTACCAGCAGCAGTAAGAGTGGTTTAGGTGAGAACAGTGACCATAACGAGGATGACATTATAGGGTATGAGGAGGCTGAGGGGTTCTGGGTACGGGTGCCCTGTGTGCTGAAGCTGCTGCCAACGGCTAGAGAGGAGCTTGCCTTCGATATAAGCACACTGGGGCAGACTAGGGTTGCTGGTACAGAAGGTGGTGGGGGTGGTGGCATGGGTGGTGGTTCTGCTTCTGCTCCTGCTGCTGCTGCCACGTCAGCTATTGATATGATCATGGGAGCTGTGGTGGGGGTATTTGCTGTTGAGCTGAGTTTCCGAGCCTCGGTGTTTACCGGACCTATTGAGCCGTGCCTGATTCCGTGCCTGATGATGGCTCGGGATGAGGGGGTGACGGGGGAGGAGGGGGAAGAGGAGGTGTGGGAAGATGAGGAGGAGTGGGATGGAGTGGAGGAAGAGGAGTCTTGTGAGGAAGGAGTGCTGAGAAAAGAGGAAAAGGAGGAGGATGAGGAGGAGGAGAGTGTGGAGGGGGGAGACACTACGAAGGACAGCATGAGCATTATTGTATTCAAACAAGACGATAAGACGGAGTCAGCAGATGAGCCAGAGACAGCAGAACAGGAGGAGAAAGAGCAGGAAGAGGAGGAAGAAACCTTCAGCGCAGATTTCACCAGGAGCAACCCCTCCTCATCCTCCCACCACCTGCTAGCAGTCACAGATCAGACACCGTTTGACATCGAGTTCTCGCCCCATTGGCCGGCGCCGATCCTCGTGGCGGTAACCGTAACGTTCACGAGCCAGGAAGGCCGCACACTCACAGGCGAGCTCGCGAGCATTCCGGTCGGCATAGAGGATTTCTTCATGCCTGCTCCCTGGCCGTTTGGTAGACGCGGGTGTGGGAGAGGAGTGGTGAAGGAGGGTAGGGAGGGTGAGGTGCTGGGGTTGTTTGATGCTTTGTGGGAGCTTCTGGGAGGGGAGTTGAGGGGTCTTGCTGGCAGCAAGCGAGGTGCGAAGCAGGAGGTTGCTAGTGAAAGGGCGGTAGATGGAGCGAGGGAACAGACGAGGGATAGAGGTTCTGTGGGTGAGAGCAGTTCAGGGAACGAGGGAGTGGGAGCGTTTGATGGAAAGGGCTTGCCTGCTGCAAGGCCTGAGTCTGTTCGCACTGTAGCTGTAACACCGGAAGCGGTGATTGAAGCGGTGGAGCAGCATTTGGGCCGGTTTGTAGTTGGTGTGGAGGGTAGGGGGCTGCGGCGATGGTTACAAGGGAGGGTGAAACAATTGGTTGTTCTTTCCTGTGACGACGCTTCTGCTGGCAAGAAACGCGCTGTAAAGATGTGGGAACGTGTGCTTGGGAGAAGACCCTCAACATCTGAGGAGAGTGGAGCGGAGGTGGTCCAGGTTGGTGCGTCTGATGTGCTGCTGCTGACAGCTGATAGTGTGGGAGCTGGTCAGCAAGCTGCTGAGGCTGGCTCTGAAGCTCGGACCCTGGGTTGCGTGCAGGTCCTCGTTTTCATTCCGCCGCGGTTCCATGTGGTCATGCGCCTTGAGGTTGGAGCAGCATCAACCATAATCAGGTTCCGAACTGATTACTGGCCGTGTCTAGTGCATGTAGATGAGTACCTGGAGAGCATCCTACCATCGGCTTCTCTCATGGGAGGCAGGGCCAGAGAACCCTGAATATTTCTTGCATCAACTGAATGTTTTGTTGGAAAGTCATTGATGCCTGAGTTGTTTTCAGAAATGTATTTGATCATACCTATCCTATATATGCACTCATCCCAGCAAGTACAGGATGAGCATGACAACTCTTGACACCCTGCTGCCTCGACTTGATCCGCGAGTATAGGAGGGTGCCAGAAAAATAAGAAAGGGCATTTCCAATAATAAATTACATAAGGCTGACACCACAAGGACATAAATACAGTAATGGTTACACAGCACATTCACCAAATCCCAACATAGCTCCCTTTCAGGCCATAAGGAAGAGGGCCCCCAGCAACCAAAAGCGACGTCCCACTGAAGTCTTGCGAGTGTGTATACACAGCATGCTTTATATCTTGACCTGCAAAGTGCTCAGCATAGACTTGGTCTTTCACCTGCACAGACAGTATTATAGGCTGTAAGGTGACCTTCGTCATAATCAAATCAACATGCCTCCTAAGTTGGATTGTATCGTACCACATGTCCTGTGCCTGTGGAGTATGATATGGTGTCCATGTGGTTCTCCCCAGTACAGCCGCTGTCATTTATTTCGCCTGAGGGAAAGGGAGAACGAAACTGGTGAGCTACCCATGCTGGCACAGGACCATCAACCATTTCCACAAGGACGTGACTTACGAATTCGTATATACTTCTGCGTTCTTGTATCAAGAAACGAGAGCCGACCCTTGCCTCCTCCACATGTCACAACGTTATCTTGGAAGCTCAACGACCGCACACCTGAAATAAGGAGTCAGAATATGAAAAACGTGCCAAATTTCAGCAATGCAGAACTAATACGTACCCCATCCTTCATCGGCGGATGCTATTGACTTCACCACGTGTCCACACCGCATGTCAATAAACGTTATAAACCGTTGAGACCCCACAGCCACTAATGGAGATTTAACAGCCATGCAAACCAGCTCCTTTGGATCCGGGCATCTTATTGATGACACCTGCACAGGGGCACAATACAAAGACAATGCATTTTGACAACTGCAGGTAAGCACATGGAAGAAAAGCAACACAAGGAACACAAGAGAAGATAGTATTTACCACTAGCATCTCATGTGGATCCCACAGCTTGCACGTGCCATCCTGACTCAAAGTTGTTACTGTCTGGCAACAAGCAGAACATTCAGGTTAGCTCATGTCCCCAGAATCAGAGTGCTGCAGTGTCGTCCAGACCGTTCAACCCACTTCCGTGTCCAAGCAGTACTTGAGATCTCTGACTTTGTCATCATGATCCGTACGGGTGACTATAGGTGACTGGTTAAAAAATTCGCCCGAACAAATCGACCATAACTTAACAGTGGAGTCTCGGGAGCCTGCATAAGAGAATACAGTTAAATAGGTAATCTTAACGTCTAAAAGTGCTCACTTCAAGAAACAAAGCTAATGTATATGACTGATAGTTGCAAACCTGTAATGAGGTGACTGTCGCCAACCCAAGCAGCAGCAAACATCCAGTTCTCGTGACTCTGCACAAAATTGGAGCCGCCAAGTTATGATATGGCAAAATGCTGACAACAGATATTCCGCCAGATGAACCAACCTGAAGAATAGCGACAGGGTCAAACGAAGGCAACTTAAAGATTGCGACATCGTCTGGGTTTGAACCTCCGGTCGCCAAGAGTGTGCGTGACGGACTGACAGCTCTGAAACGATATATATAGAAAAGTTATTAATAGCAATTACCAGCGATAAATGCAGCATGAACAAAAACCGGAGTATGGACCCACATGGAATGAATGCCACAGTTATCCTGGCGGTCACGATGCCTCGGTTGTGGTGAATCTGGAAGAGGAATGTTCACATGCTTTCCAGTTTCTGTGTCCCATCGAATGAGTTTGTTGTCTTTAGTCCCAATAACGAATGTGGAATGGTCGACCCAAGCGGAAGCGAAGACTTTGTCATAATGCTTGATCTCATCCAGCTCTCTTTCTGCATACTGGAGAGGAATACTTGGAGCAGCAGATGCGACGCACCGTCGCTTCAAGCTCCTGGAAAGGCGAACGAAAATACGTAAATGTTTTGAACATGACGTCACTACAACGAGCTAAGGAAATGAGACGGACCCAGAGACGTTGAAACACTCGCGTTTGCGAGTAAATGTCCACATCGCCTGGTCGACAACAACAAGAATGTCGGATGATTTTCCGTTGATAAAGCTCTCGCTCCTCCCTTGCTCGTTGGGAGGAGTGAACGAGCATTTGTTCCTAGAAGCAGGTTGAAGCTAAAGCTTTATGAAGTCCAACTGGGAATGAAGAAATGGAGAGAATTTGACAGCTTGGGATGTCGTCAAAAGACAAATTGGCTTGATCAAGAAAGCCCACAGCAAAACACAGAACAGAAGTACAGTACACCGCAAGCATCCGAAAATAGTCGATGAAGTGCAGAATGCATTCGGATTTAATCGGATTATTTGTGCTTGTTCGGCATACACAGAACTTTATTTGTTTATATTTAAACATCGTTTGTTTGGAACAAAAACACAAATTGCTTGACCTAGATCCTCCCTCCCGCACCCCACATCGAACCCAAGCACAACCCTCAGTAAACTCCCTCCATCCACCTTCATGTGGTTAGCGACTTGAGAGTTTGTCGGGAGAGGCGGATTCACGTAACAAAGGTGTTCAGATCTGGATCTTCACCATTGGTCTCGATCTTACTTTCGCGAAGCCACTTCTAGGCCCAGATTCCTAGTAGAGTGAGTTGTCGCCATGCCTGCTCGTCAAGATGTGGCTGTCGCGGCGGCAGGTGCAGCAGCGGTTGCCGCTGGAGGTGCTGCAGCAGGCGGACAGCGCCAGCAGCAACAGCAGCAGCAGCAGAACCCGATCATGTCTATGATTCGCATGGCTATGTTTTGGTACATGATCAGCAATTTCTTTTTCAAGAAACCACCCAAGGATCCAGCCATGGTTTCTCGGAACCTTTTTCGGAAAGGAGAGGATTTGGTGAGTGTCGCAGTTCCTCAGAGATGCGCGGTAGATCGATACTTTCGCCTCGTTCTCAGGTGTCTCATGGAGTAATCGGCGGAGTAATCGTCGGTCTATCCATGTTTATCCAGATCCGTAGAATGTGTCCGCACTTTTGCTCTAGATCGACGGCCCATAGACGCTCTTCTTGCTTGAATTTGTGGGTGACGGGTAGCTTATGGGTGTCGAATTTGTGGGTGAGGGTAGTTGTTTCGCTCTCAGGAGTCGTATGTGCTGCTCTTGTGTGCAGCTTTCAAGTTCAGCTGTGAGTTTGATGTGTTGCGTCATCACACATATTTTCCTCGCTATCAGGATATGTGGGTGTACATAACAGAGGGTGAGAAGTTTAACAATTTCCAAGACGAGTCGGCACTTGTATGGACGGAGTCCGGAATTCCGTACACGATGTACGATGCTCCTGCCGCTCGAAGGACCCTTGAGTTTACCTATTATCCTTCCAAGGTAGGTCAGTCGCGATTCTCAATCTGTAAGTCGTTTCTGCCGAACTACTTGAACCTTGTACCCTGAAACCCCGTAAAGCCTTGCTGGTCCCTTCCCTTCTTGACCTCTCAGTTCTGTCTCATCAGTTTTCTGCTGCTAACACTTCTTTTTACCTTTTTATGGACCATGCTTTGTTCTTATTTTTTTCCCAGGCTGTAACGGAGGGTAATGGGACTGTCTTTGCACATGTGTACTTTGCAAAGTCTGGGTACTCGCCAGACCCAACAGATCAGCTGTACGAGCGATCTTCAACGTTTTCAAAGACCCACCGTAAGCTGTCACAGGACTTCCGTCTTCTCACTCGCCTCTTCACTTTCTGGGCCCACGATAGTGAACCCACTGTGCCCCTTTCATCCTGTTTCAGTGCTTGTCAGTGCAGCACAGCACATGATCCCATGTGGACCTCTTGTTCTATCAAATTCTTCCTACTTCCACTTTCATGACCCATATTTATCCCCCTTTTCTCCGTTGTGACTCTGCAGCACTAGTTGCGTATTATCCTCGTCCTAAGGTGGACACACGGAAGCGGCTTCTGGGAGGGGGATCAGATGCGAATGACACTGCAGGCGAGGTCAGTCAATGCCTCTGGGTGCTTGCTTTCCAGCACCCATGAGATGCAGTGTTGATGCATCACATGCAAGCATGCGTAAAGGAGCGCAAGTGATAATTTTGGGTTTGGCTGTAGCACACGCCCACAAGCACATAGATGTAGACACCATCACGGACACGCACGCCCTTCTTCCAGAAAATGACCCACCACCCAAACCCCCCACCAACCCCCCACCCCCCTCCTCCTCCCCCCCTTCCTCCCCCCGCCCACCCACACACACGCACATTGATCATTGGACATTATTGTTCCCGCTTTCTGTGCGCGAATTTTGTGCGTGCGAATTCACTGCAGCCACCTCCACCATCTTCCAAGGTAGCAGCAGATAGTGAGGAGAAAGGTGACGCAACAGCAGTGGTACCAGAGGAAGTGGAGTGGATTGGCTTCTGGAAGCCGAATCTCACCATTTCACTCATTGACGACTTCACTGCGTGAGTGCACAATAGATTTTCCCTTGATTTGTGTTGATAAAATGACGGAGGAAACGAGCTGTACTGCGGTTTTGTTCCAGCAAGTTGGGAGTATGCAACTTTTTTTTGTCCTTCATATTGATGTATTCCATGTGCTATCAAGGCCCAGGAAGTGGATTCAGAGCGACTGTTCTCAACCAGACTGTTTCCCGTGTTCTCGTTTTCACGTGTTCCCTCATTTTGCCTGGCATTCTGCTCCTGCAGGTATCCTCGAACAGCGATTCCTGAGATTTTCCACAAACGTGAGTGCCGCACACCGACTGCAGTGACACAGTTTCACATGAATCGACATTACGCTTCTTGCGCCTCCACCATGTGTGACTTCAAGGCTTAGACTTTTGAACTGATTACATTCCGGTAACTTCTCTCAGGTAGATCCTGTGTCACTCCAAGCACGACTTAGAGTGAGGCAACTACTTCCCCACACTCCGCGTGAACGAGTTCTGGGTGGTTGACCAGCAAAGCATATCCAGCTCATCAACGCCTTTTCTTACACCAGTCACTGGCCCTCAAACTCTCATCCACCCCCCTTCTCCCAACCCCCGTGTTTGCCTGCAATGACCCCAGACATGACGTTTGACGAAGGCACAGGCAACTACTTCCCCACGCTGCACACACGCCCCACTGTCTCTGAGGTGCCGCTCTCCCTCGTGGTGGAGACGCTGCCGCTGTGGCGCTGGCAGATCTACCTCTTCATGGACCAATCGCCCCTTGCTGTGATCACTCATCCCCCCTTTTACCCGCTTCCTGCCCTCTCCACCCCACGTTCTTCCCGTCCAGACATGACGTTTGACGAGGGCACAGGCAACTACTTTCCCACGCTGCACATGAACGAGTTCTGGCTGCTGCGGGACAAGCTCCTCCAGCTCAATGCCACTGTCTCCGAGGTGCCGCTCTCATTGGTCGTGGAGACGCTGCCGCTGTGGCGCTGGCAGATCTACCTCTCCATGGACCAGAGCTTCAAAATCCAGCAGCAGTTCGGCACCGCCATGGAGTCAGAGTCCGATGAACTTAAGGTGGGTGGGTTGGGAGCGGTGCAGGTGGATGGGTGGGTGGGTGGAGAGCGGTGCAGTTGGGTGCTGTGCTGCCTACCTGGCTGCCGCTGTGGCGCTGGCAGATCTACCTCTCCATGGACCAGAGCTTCAGAATCCAGCAGCAGTTCGGCACCGCCATGGAGTCAGAGTCCGATGAACTTAAGGTGGGTGGGTTGGGAGCGGTGCAGGTGGATGGGTGGGTAGGTGGAGAGCGGTGCAGTTGGGTGCTGTGCTGCCTACCTGGCTGCCGCTGTGGCGGTGGCAGATCTACCTCTCCATGGACCAGAGCTTCAAGCTGCAGCAGCAGTTCGGCACCGCCATGGAGTCAGAATGTGACGAGCTCAAGGTGGGTGGGTTGGGAGTGGTGGGTGGAAAGCAGTGCGGACGGGTGCTTTGCTGCCTGGCTAAGTAGTTGCACGACTGACTGGTCCATCTTCGCCTCTTCTCCGCTCCCCTTCCCCCCCCATACCCCGCCCTCCTTCCCTCCCTCCGTCTCCCTCCTGCCTTTTTCCCTCTCCTTCCTTCACGTCAATACCTTTGGGAAGATAACCTTCGTTACGTTTTCCTTCTATGGAGAATGCAATGTAAGCATTTGTTCTTCCTTCTGCTCCCCTGTGCATCCACCGTTTCTGTCCCCTGGCGGCGCCAATGATTTGCAGAGGGTGTTTCTGGAGGGCAACCCCATTCTCCTGGGCATTACAGTGGTGGTGTCCCTCCTGCACTCCGTCTTTGACTTCTTTGCCTTCAAAAACGGTATGTTGCGTGCGTGCACCTTGATGTAGCTTGCACAGGGAGTGCTGTTTTGTTTCTTTTTCCCTTTTTTTGTTATGTTTGTTTTTGTTTTACCAAGACTGTGAAGTCGTTGCAAGCCTTTTGGAGGAAGCAAGGAGGAGTGTCGTCTGATCTGAACACAAGGGTGGTGTCGTTTGGTATGAGTTGAAAGCCACACTTCTGGCTGCAACAAATTTTGAGTCGACTCAAAACTTTTGGAGGAAGCAAGGACGAGTGTCGTCTGAACACAAGGGTGGTGTCGTTTGGTATGAGTCGAAAGCCACACTCCTGGCTGCAACGAACCCCGCTGCTATTTTCCCTCCCTCGCCGCCCCGCCTCTGCAACCTCACTGGCTTCATGTGCCTGTTCATGCATTCCCCCTCCGCTCCTCCGCACACCGCACCCCAGACATGTGGTGATCAAGTTCATCTGCTAGCTCTTCATCTTATCTTCCTCTACCTGCTGCTTCCTTCCCATCACCCCCGCTTCTTCCCCCCCCTTCCTTCTCCTCCCCTCTCTTCCTCCGCTCTCCTACTCCGCCCTTTCCTTCTTCCCCTCCCCTTCGCCCCTCGCCTCCGCCCCACCCCATGCCCCAGACATTGCGTTTTGGAACCAGAACAAGTCAATGGAGGGGCTGTCCGTGCGCTCAGTGGTGATCAATTTCGTGTGCCAACTGATCATCTTCCTCTACCTGCTTTCCTTTTCCCTTGCCCCATCTCCCCCGCCCCTCCCCATGCCCCAGACATTGCGTTTTGGAATCAGAACAAGTCAATGGAGGGGCTGTCCGCGCGCTCAGTGGTGATCAACTTCGTGTGCCAGCTCATCATCTTCCTTTATCTCCTTGACAACAACACGTCTTGGCTCATCCTCATCTCCTCCGCCATCTCATGCGGGATTGAATTCTGGAAGATTGGCAAGGCCATGCATGTTGAGGTGAGGGGGTAAAAAAGGATTGATCGTTCAGGCACCATTCCCTGGTTGAGGTTCAGGGACCGGGAGTCGTATGCATGCAACAAGACCAAGGAGTACGACGCCCTCGCCATGCGCTACTTCTCCTACGCGCTTAACTCACTCGTTGCCGGCTATGCCACCACCACCTACTCGCTCCTGCTTCAGTGACATCCACTCAAACCCTCCATCACGCTGTCCCGCCCTTCCCCGCGTGCCACCCTTTCTCTTGTCCCTCCCTCCTCCCCCTCCGGCCTCTTTCAGATTGATCGTTCAGGCACCATTCCCTGGTTGAGGTTCAGGGACCGCGAGTCGTATGCGCGCAACAAGACCAAGGAGTATGACGCCCTCGCCATGCGCTACTTCTCCTACGCGCTCTACCCACTCGTCGCCGGCTATGCCGTGTACTCGCTCATATACGAGACGCACAAGAGCTGGTACTCCTGGGTGCTCAACTCCCTCACCGGCTGTGTCTACACCTTTGGTGAGCTTCAAACTTGCTTTATCTTTCTAAAGTTAGAACAATAACAATAATTATTATTCTTGTTATCAGCATCCCCATCATCATTACTACTATTATTGTTATTATGCGTTGTTGCTGTGGTTGTGCCTTGCCCCTCACTTATCCTAATGCTATTCCCTTCACGCACTCTGATCTCCCCTATATTTTCCCCTTTTCTGTTTCTGTGCCCACCTATGTGTCGTTAAAACGACCACCAGGGTTCATCATGATGTGTCCGCAGCTGTTCATCAACTACAAGCTCAAGTCGGTGGCACACCTGCCATGGCGGCAGATGACCTACAAGTTCCTCAACACCATCGTGGATGACCTCTTTGCCTTCGTTATCAAGATGCCCACGCTGCACCGCTTGTCTGTCTTCAGAGATGGTGCGTGGATTAGTGACTTCCCGTGATGGTAGGTGAGTGTATGTGATGGAATGCTCAACACCATCGTGGATGACCTCCTTGCCTTTGTCATCAAGATGCCCACGCTGCACCGCCTGTCGGTCTTCCGTGATGGTATGTTACTGTTACTGATCGTATGTCATGGTATGTAAAAGTATGTTCCTCAACACCATCGTGAATGACCTCTTTGCCTTTGTCATCAAGCTGAACACGCCGCACCGATTGTCAGTCTTCAGGGATGGTATGTGATAGCTAGTGATGCTGTGTCTGGTGTTTGCGTGATGTGATTGCAAGAAATGGAATGTGATGCACCGTACCTGATGTGATTGCAAGTGGTGGTATGTGTGTGGTGGTATATTCTTCAACACCATTGTTGACAATCTCTTTTCTGTTCTTTTAGATTCTCTCTTGTTCTCTCGTTCTCTTGTCATCTTTTGGCACCAAGGACTACCATTCTCTTTCTTCCAATACTCTCTTTTTCTACAACCCCTTTCTCTCCCCCCCACTTCAACTCTTCCCCCTCTCCCTCCCGCTCCCCCTTCCCCTCTCCCTCGTCCCGCTCCCTCCCCTCTCCTTTCCCAAACATCATCTTCCTGAACCAGCACTAAATCTACCCCGTCGACAAGCGTCAACGATCCCTTTCGCTCCCACCCCCTTTCCTCAACCCCTTTCCACTCCCCCTCCTTTGTTATTTTCATTTCCGTTTCCCTGCTCTCCCCCCAGACATCATATTCCTCATCTTCCTCTACCAGAGCTGGATCTACCCCGTCAACAAGAGCCCCATCAACAGCCCCTTCATCTCCCCTTTCCCCATCCTCCTTCCCCTTTCCCCTCCTCCCCTCGCCCTTCTTGTCCCTCCCCTCCCCGCAGACATCATATTCCTCATCTTCCTGTACCAGCGCTGGATCTACCCCGTCGACAAGAAGCGCGTCAACGAGTTCGGGTTCGGAGGGGAACCCGAGGGAGCCGCACTGACTGCTGCTGGCGCTGATGGTGCTGCGGGTGGTGCTGATGGTGCTGCGGGTGGTGCTGATGGTGCTGCGGGTGGTGGTGCTGATGGTGCAGGCAGTGGCAGTACAGACAGGCTGACGGCTGCTGAGGCAGAAGTTGCAGCCGCTACTGCTGCTGGTGGTGCTGCCGCTGAGGGTAGTGAGGGGAGAGCAGGGGATGATGAGGGTGCTGGGGGTGCAGAGGCGCGTGCTGTGTCAGAAGAAGGGCTTGTGAGGAGAGGGAAGGGGAAAGGGAAGGGGAAGGCAGGAAAAGGGGGTGGTGGTGAGGAGGAGGAGGTGAGTGCGGAGGAGGATGATAAGGTGAAGGAGAAATGAGCGCCGTGTATACACTGACAAGTTAGCAGATTCTTGCCTTGTGTTTTCCTGTGGCAGCGGCTGCTGCTGCTGGTGATAGCGCGTTCTTTATCTGCATGTTTACACCTTTCTCATTGTAGAATTCAGCGAACAGAGTACAGAGAATGCACTCTAAATTCAATATGTACACGAAACTAACAGGCAGCTGACTAGACAAAAAAGGGGTCTCTTGCATACGGTGCAAACACCACTGTATCCAACTGTTCGGTGGCAACTGCAATGTCTGATTTGATCTGCGATACTAGGTCATCTGGGAGAATACAAATGCACAAGAGGAAAATAGAATGGGATTGGATTGAAAGAGGGGACCGGATTGCTTGCTCTCATGCAGGGTTCTGAAGCTGACAGAGCAAGTGGGGCAACGTGTGGAGGTGATTGTGAAGATCACAAACAACCCAATATAAAGAATATGAATCAAGGTGGAAACAGTGTATGCGCAAAGGCAAGCAATGCAAGGGGCACGGTTGAGACATCTCAAAACTGAATGCCACTTTTTAGTGAATGAGCAAGGCAAGGCAAGAGGTCAGTGGTGGTGTTGAGAGCAGTTTATGTCATTATGGTGGCAGGAAACGGGTCAAGACAATGGGGTAAATAAATCAGTTGGTACAGCGGCTAACAATCAAAAGGTGTTATGAGCAAGGTGGAGGGAAGAAGGAGCGGGAAGGGGAAGTGGGGGAAGCGAAAGGAGGGAGGAAAAAAAAGAGAAAGGGGAAGGTCGGGGGAAGGGAACAAACATCTACTGCAGCACCGGACCGGTCCTTTCCTAACGAGGAAGAAAGAAATCATGAGCTGCTTTTGAGAATCTCAAGATGGGAACGTGTAAAGAGAAGTGCTTCTTACCCAGTGCGCAGAACGTGGACATGCAGGAGAGTTGCTACAAAGCAGTGAAGAACAGTGATGGATTCTCACCCAGTGAGGAGAATTTTCTTTCTGGGCGGATGTAGCCCAGCACAACCACCTGCAGCTCCTCGCCATAGAAATCATCCTCAAACGAGGATAGAATGTGCACCTCCTGTACGGCAAAGATGGGAAGAATGAACAGCAGCAGTACTGGTATTGTGAAAGGTCAAACCCTTGTATGAATCATTCTCAAAGAAGGAAAGAAATTGCACCTCCTGCAGGGTAAGATGGGGAGACGACAGAGCAGCAATGTCTGACGATTTAGGGTTTAGGGTTGCTCATAGTAGAGAGCCTTTCTCAAACGAGGATATAATAGAAACCTTCTGCCAGGCACCACTTGGGAAAAGGCATACCCAAAGGGAGTAGCATGGCATGGCAGTGTGCATCACAGACCAACCAGTCATTTCCAATAAGAGGCTCATGGCGAAATGGTACCGCATTATGATGTCGACGCATCCCCCGATGACGTCATAACGTACGCCAGTGACGTCATCACGTGCCATGGTGATGCCATCACGTGCAACAGCGACGTCATCACGTACCACGGTGACGTCATCTCCGTCAACAAACGTGGGTCGCCTGCCGACGTTCAGCACCATCTTGAACACCCGAGGCCCTCCCTCGCCCTCCTCTCCCTCTTCCCCCACTCCCCTGTTTCTTGTCCCTTCACCCTCCAGATGCGGCAGCCGAGCCCATCCAAAGTACACGCCTCGCTCCATGCCCTCTAGCTGCTCCCTCAGCACGTCTGGTAGCATGTTGGCTGGTGGGGAATTGCAGGGAAGCAGGCCATGAAAGCAAGGGGAAGGAGAGCACGATGAGAAAGGGACTGGTAAACCCATTCGCCCGACCACCACCCAAAGCACACGCCTCGCTGCATGCCCTCTAGCTGCTCTCTCAACACGTCTGGCAGCATGTTGGCTCGTGTAGGAGCACGGGGGGAGGGTAGAGGGAGAGGGAGAGATGGGGAGAGCGGGAGAGGGGGGAGGGGGAAACAGGGAGGAATCCTTTGAGAAAGAACACTGGGTATTCTTTCCCCCCAGCCACTCTCTTACTGTATCCAGCAGTACCATGTTCGCCCTCTTTCCCCCCCCCCTCTCTTCATCCCCCATGCCCTCCTGCTCCTCTCCCTCATCCCCCCCATCCCGCCCATCACCCCTCTCCTATCCACCCCACAGCAGCTCACATCACCAAAGTCCACGGCACACCACCTTACCACCACCTACGATCAACCCTTCCTCACCCTCTCCTCTCCTCGCTCTCCCTCTCCCCTCTCCTCTCCTCTCCTCTCCTCTCCTCCCTCTCCCCTCTCCCCTCTCCCCTCTCCCTCTCCCTCTCCCCTCTCCCCTCTCCCCTCTCCCCTCTCCCCTCTCCCCTCTCCCCTCTCCCCTCTCCCCTCTCCCCTCTCCCCTCTCCCCTCTCCCCTCTCCCCTCTCCCCTCTCCCCTCTCCCCTCTCCCCTCTCCCCTCTCCCCTCTCCCCTCTCCCCTCTCCCCTCTCCCCTCTCCCCTCTCCCCTCTCCCCTCTCCCCTCTCCCCTCTCCCCTCTCCCCTCTCCCCTCTCCCCTCTCCCCTCTCCCCTCTCCCCTCTCCCCTCTCCCCTCTCCCCTCTCCCCTCTCCCCTCTCCCTCTCCCCTCTCCCCTCTCCCCTCTCCCCTCTCCCCTCTCCCCTCTCCCCTCTCCCCTCTCCCCTCTCCCTCTCCCCTCTCCCCTCTCCCCTCTCCCGTCTCCCGTCTCCCGTCTCCCGTCTCCCGTCTCCCCTCTCCCATCCACCCCCCCTCTCAGCGGCTCGCATCACCAAAGTCGAGCTCTCTGCAAATCCACGCCACACAACCTTACCAGCACCCACTACCATCCCATTCCCTCTTCACACATTCTCCAGATTGCAAAAACAAATAAAGGAGGAGGACCGGGGTGGAGTAATGGGGAACCCAGGGGGAGGCATGGGGTTTAGGGGGATGGGTAAGGGGATGGGTAGGGGGATGGGTAAGGGGATGGGTAGGGGGATGGGTAGGGGGATGGGTAAGGGGATGGGCAAGGGGATGGGTAGGGGGATGGGTAAGGGGATGGGTAGGGGGATGGGTAGGGGGATGGGTAGGGGGATGGGTAAGGGGATGGGTAGGGGGATGGGTAAGGGGATGGGTAGGGGGATGCGTAGGGGGATGGGTAGGGGGATGGGTAAGGGGATGGGTAGGGGATGGGTAGGGGGATGGGTAGGGGGATGGGTAGGGGATGGGTAGGGGGATGGGTAAGGGGATGGGTAGGGGGATGGGTAAGGGGATGGGTAGGGGGATGCGTAGGGGGATGGGTAGGGGGATGGGTAAGGGGATGGGTAGGGGATGGGTAGGGGGATGGGTAGGGGGATGGGTAAGGGGATGGGTAGGGGGATGGGATGGAGAAAAGGGGAACGGTGAGGGGGTGAGAAGGAAGAACGGGTTTGCATTACTTTCTCACAAACAAACCCAGGGTCGGTTTCCTGTCTTTTTATACCCGGGGAAAAGGGGGTGGGGGTAAGCACTAGTACCTGTTGGAATGCCCATCTGCTTACTCCCACGCCCGAATCCTGTCACAACTGGCGCCTTCATAAACACTGGTGCTTTGGGAAACGAGAATTTTTCAGTATCCTCGGTCGGCGCAGCAGCAGCAGCGGATTCGTTACAAGACGCTCCGTTTGCCTGCACACATATGCGTCTTGGGGTTCTGGCAGGGGATGACGGTAACCTCGCGAAGCACGAAAACAGCGGAATTCGCGAAAGTGAATGCGACGCTTGCACACATGACGGTTCAGAGCGGCGCAAGTTCCTGGAAGGCTCCTGTTTCCGCCGCGCTTGACTTAAGCTGAAAAGCCGCGGATCGCAGCTCTGCGACAGTCTATCATGCGACGATGTGATGCAACGGTCGCCATTGAGATTCCCATGCAAGTTCGTCAATTCCCTGCGACAATTGTGGAAGCTGGGTGAGGTGGCCCCAACATGCGGACGAACGTAGAGAATCTGAGAGGAAAACATGGCGGCGCGATTAATCACTGCCAAACAATCGGCTTTCATGGCAGACGTTCAGCCAGGATTATCCAGATTGTCTCTATTTTTCTGTCCCTTGGATCATTTTCCACTCGCCATGAAAAAGAGCGAGAAATTGAGGGAGCGATTCAATAACATGGGCCTCGTTTTGGAACACCTGTCACAAACAAAAATGGAAGTGTAAAGCCCACATATGATTCAATCAGTGCCTTTTTTCGGGTCTCAATTTACGTTAGGGAGTTTGGCCAGCATTGAAAAAATTGGCCCGAATGATACCGTTATAAATCTCGCATGTAGTCTGAGTCCAAGGTACGCATGTGTTTAGAGATATGAATAACCAAATTGCATATAGGTCATGACTTACAATATGTAATTACAAGTTCATTTTGTGTGAATAAAATCGAATAATAAACTTGCAAACTGGTCATGTTTCCTCGAGAGGTTATAACCAGAATCAAACTGATCTGTCACGAATCCCAACTCCCATATTGGCCAACTGACATTATCCACGTCAGCCTTGACCCGTTTTCCCAGCAGCGCCTCGCCAGCGTGAATGCACTTGCCTGAAATTGTGAAATGTGTGCAGCAGCAAAGAACCATCTCCTTTCCTCGTCAAATGCGAGTCATGCATGCCCAGATCAGAAAGAATCTCGATGCAGGTACACATGATGCCCAGCCCCTGCACGCGAATTTGCCCTGTGCAGGATGGAAATCCTGCACCCGAGGTTTTTTCCCCAGACAGTTGCACGCACGTTACAAGCACCTTGCAGTGGTTATGAACCAATAATAACGAACAGACCGAAGTCATACTGAAGAGATTGAAGTCAAAATGTCAACGGATAAGTTACAAAAAAATATAAGCACCTGACGAATCCTTTTTTGCTAGCTGCGAATTGACGAAACTTATGCGAAATATACGTTACCGCTTATAAGCTACCTTGACAAGGCAACCGGGAGTGGCTCAAACGGGCATCATGTGTATGAGATTCACTTACTCCCCTAGTCTGCACCTTGAAATACAGTCCCCTAGATAGATATTACAGGACAGGGTGAAATATCTAGGGTGTACACTCCGTTCATGCCCTCCCCTATCCCCACCTCGCAGCACTAATTTATGGACAGACCACCTTCCCTAATCCTGAACCGTGTCGCACAATTCCATGTGTCGCCGTCGCATTCACTCACCTGCCCTTCCAATTTGGAGCTGGTACACCTCCCTGCTTTTCCCCCTAGTACTAACCTCGCGAGTCGCGCAACTCTCCAGCCCCGCGTTAGACTCCATATAAAGCAGTTCCCATCGTATCTGTCTTCATCCAAAAACTCAAGCTCTACTTCCTCGCATACAGTCTACTCACCTGATTCCCGAAGTCTCGTAAAATCTGCCTCTTTTCGTGATTCTCTCGGCCTCGATTAGCTTTATCTACGCAATGGCCCTCTCATGCAACCAGGCTGCTGTCCTGTCCTCCGCCGGTCTCTCCAAGGGCCTGTTCACATCATCGTCCCCCTCCCAACTAACACGTAGAACCCTCAGCGCACGTGCACTTCCCTCGATCAGGGCCGAGGCTGCACCTGCAGCTGTCAACCGGCCCGAGGCGGCAAATGCTCCCGCTACCCCTGTGCTCCCCTGCGGCCCATCCATGGCGGATTTCCTCGTCACTTTCAGCCGCACGCTGAACCACGCTCCCGGGAACGGCAAGAGCATTGCCGGTGCCGGTCGGGCTCTTCTTTCCCGCGTGCGCAGCGGCATTAGCGATCTCGACATGGATGCTGACGTGGAGTCCCAGGTTCGGCGACAGCTGCGTGTCGCAGAGGCCGAGCGACTGCTTTTGGCGATCGAGAGCGACCTTGTGCAGATCGCCGTGGATTCGTCCGTGGACGCGAACAGCATCCCCGTGCAACTGCTTCGCATGCATTGCGCACAGGCCGCCAAGATTCTTCGAGTGCTCTAAAAAGGAACATGCGTCACTTCTTGTACCTAATACTAGCTAGAGGAGAAAGTCGGCGCTGGGGCTGGCCTAGTGTGCATATAACGAGGACCTCTGAAGGGTGTGACCCACCCTCAGTTGTATCTTCCTGTATATCCAGTCAATTGTAATACTGTTTTTGGTTCAATTGTCAACATTTTTTTATCAATAGTCCATTATCTTTAAAGCCAGCAGCTAAAATAGTGACCCCCCCCTTCTAGTTGGGTCCACTTGAAAACACAAGTTCGGGACGAACGTTTGAAAAGTTGACGGCCTGCGCGTTTTTACTTTTTTTTCATCCCAGACGAGTCTTGATCTGAACGGGAAACATGAGCAACTAGTTTACAAATCTTATTGGTGGCGACTTTCACCCACATTCGTATGCGAATTTGGCGCAAGGCTGCAATCCCACATTCAACATAGCAGCCGTCGTAACTTCTCAAGAATTCCCATATGCAAAAAACAGCGCACACACAGGCAGAATCCAGCGCGCACAGGCAAAAACTCGCAAAATCCTGCGCGAACACTGGCATGATCAAGCAAAATCCATGGCACACACAGGTGAAATCAGGCGAAGAAGATATAAATAAAGAAATTAATGATGTACGAAAAGAGAAAGGGCGACGGGACGGTTGATTGGTCGACGGCGAAGAGAAGGGACTGGGGACAAGGGGGCTGACGGGAGAGGAGGGGAGAGAGGGGGAACGACGGGATGGGAGGGGAGAAGGGAAGAACGACGGGATAGGAAGGAAGAGAGGAGGAACGACGGGATGGGAGGGGAGAGAGGAAGAAAGACGGGATGGGAGGGTAGAGCGGAGGAACGACGGGATGGGAGGGTAGAGAGGAACGACGGGATGGAAGGGGAGAGAGGAACGACGGGATGGAAGGGGAGAGAGGAACGACGGGATGCGGGGAGGGAAGACAGATTGTGAGGGGAGGGAGGAAGGGCGCGGAGAGGCGTAATGGAGATAACGGTAGGAGGGCGACGGGACGTCGACGGGACGGACGACATGATCGCGACGCGACGGTCGATGGGACGGCGTCAGGATGGTCGATGGGACGGCGTCAGGACGGTCGATCGGAACGGGAGGGCGAGCGAGATGAGATAGGAAGGCGGCGAGAGGGCATTCGAAACGGCACAAAGTACTACACAACCATGCCAGCTTCACTACGCGTCTAAATTGAAACAACAACGGCCTAAGTTGACGGTTCGATGGCTAGACATGCTACACATAACTAAGAAGCTGAGATGTGTGATCGGAAGAACTAGTAGTTGTTCACCCAGACCCAACTTGAACCCCAAGCTGGGCCCAAAATCGCAAGGACGTGCATGAGCGATCGCAATGCTAGTGTTGTGCAGCTTCCAAAACTGATATGCGACGCCTGACGTGCTGTGTTCCTTCTTTTGGTTTTGGCGGGAACCAATCAGATGTGTTCGATCTGCAAAAAACTGTTTGATTCGTCATACCGGTAGTCAGATGTGCTCTGAATGAACACTGGAAACTTGTCGGTTTGGTTCCAAAATTGTTTCGCACGGCAAGCCCTCTTTCAAGTTGGCGTTGGGTTCACTATTTTGCATTTCGGTTTTAAATCCTCACCCCTTGCCCTCACTGGTCTATGTAGCGGTATGCCATAGCAAGTGTGCTCTGTTTCTGCCGCGGCCCATTGTGCAACGCTGCAGGAAGAAGTAACAACAGCGTGTTGAGACAGAGTCACACATCTACATACACACTGCAAGCTGCTTGTCAACCTCCATATGCCCCTCCCATTACCGTAGGAGAAGTTCATCCACTGATCCACTTTTAGAGAATACTCGAAAGTGATTCCCAGACTGCAAGCTGCTTGTCATGTCAGTCAACCCTCATATGCCCCTTACCATAGAAGAAATTCATGCACTGATCCAAGGGGTTAGTTAAAGGTACTACATGGTACCGTACCTTGGGTGAGTAATGTTGGGCTGAGAAAAGCCCTTAGGATCTTTGCAAGGCTAAACTCTGGGTAGGGACAATGTAATAGCGGAAGCGTTTTGATGACAAGTGTTTGAACCACCTTGCGCTGGTATGTGATGGCAAAGTAGATTCATTAAAACAAGGAAATACAAGGTTTTTTAATAAGAGTACAAGGAATACGACGAGACACAACTAATAACTGTTTTACTGTTGCTGTTGCGGTTCTATACAGTGACGACTCGGGCAACTGCTCAATAACGAGTCAGTTGTTTGTCCTTGCTGTCGCGCTGTATTTGTCAGGTCAAAGGTCGATGACCTTTGACTTTCGCGTAACCTCCAGCAGTTGCTTTACTTCTCAACCTCCAAGTGTTGACTCACCGATGCTTCGTTGTGCTTCGCCTCGTTTACGACTTAGTGTTTCGACACACAACAGAAGCGCTTAAATTACTTGTTTCCAACACTCCCCTTCGCTTCTCGAGTGTCGCTGCTGGTGACGTGGCTTTGTCCAGT